CACAAAACTGTTCTACCAGTGTTTCTATAAATAATGTCTATACCAGTGCACAAATCTCTGGTATTCGAAAGAAAAACTACAAAGACTTAATTATGGCAGTGCAGCAGCCTTCCTCCACAAATTCAACCTGAAGTGTATTACTTCCCCCCATACTGATTACATGTTCCAGAAACTAAACCTCAGAGTACCAGAACAATCCAAAATACTTAGAGACTATTAGACTTATATATACAAAAGACTTCATCATACAGACAGGCACCCTAGAGATTTATTTCATGCTACTTTGTTTTCAGAAATCTAAGTTAAAGAAAGATTTATACCATTTTCACTGGTTTTCCCTGATGAAAATCTTTCTTAAAATAGGGTACAAGAGCCTTAGGTAGAAGTCTTAGCCATGGGCCTGGTGTGCTCACAGCAAGGCAGAAACACATCCAGGAAGTAAAGTTACTAAGACAATGATGTCCATTTGAAATGTAGGCAGCATAAATTACAGTGGAAAAAGTCTTTTTCAATTCTTATCTCAGTAAGGGCTAAACCAAGCAGGACCTGAGAGGTTAAATCTGGTATATTTGCTAGAGACAGGCCCAGTAAAGAATAACTTCAGTTCTGAAACTAACCCAAGACGAGGCCACTCTGCAGATGATGCAGGAGTTTTTGGAATAAAATCGAAAGGAGGTGAGCACAGAAAACACAGCCTGAGAGCAACACACAGGATGGAAGAAGACAGTTAAATATCACAGCAACAGAATACAAGTCTTTCCCACATGGATATTCACTGCCTTCCAGACCATGTTCTGGAAGCTCTGAGCCTCATGGCAGCCTTCCCTGCTGTCCAGTCCCAGAAGTCCAAAGATTTGAACATTCCCTGTTATGGCTCTCCCTCTGAAGAACACACCCCAGTCAGGGGGATGGTCTGTTCTTGCTGCCCTTCAGGAAGCCCAGCTCTTCCTAAGTAGCCAGGGACTAACACCAAGGTTCTCATTTCATTAGCTTCAAGCTGATTCCACAGGTGACAGGGTAATTGTCCAAGCTAAGCTCATCTAGCACTAGTTCTAAGGCTTCACCAGACAGGGAATAAACTCTGAAGCTGACCCCCTGCACGCTGCAGAATCAGGTGGTGAACAACCAATGCCACAGAAGTCAGGGACTGCATCAGCTCCATCAGCACCTGGATGAAGCTCTCTACAGCAAGCCCAGCCCATTTCCATTGTGGTTTGTGAGCCCATCGCAACGAACGCTGCAAACAACAGCCAGATGTGCTGAGCAAGGCCAAGGACAAATTGCTTTGCTTGTCACCTCCCAGGGCTCCTCCAAGCCTCAGTTTCTTTGATGTTCTGCCCTCCTTCAATAAACGCCCAACTGCAAAGTTGCATTTTGAAGTATTTACAATTCAGTATTTTGGTTCATTTTCTCTTTAAAAAGGGGGTTGATACTGCTTAGGACCTGTTTGTGTTACTGAGGACACATTTCATTACTGGCATGAGTGGTTATGTACAACTGCCTGTCCCCAAGCCAGCCCACCAATGCTGCTTTACAGCTCTTCACTGCATTCCTAATCAAGAGGAAAATTAATGGATTTACTACTCCAAAATCAACTTCCACTGAAGTCTTATTCAAGGTAATAATTTTTCAGAAATGGCAATAATTCAATACAGCAGCTTGGATAAGTTTAGTTACAATATCACTAAACAAGGAACAACCAGCTCAAGTCTTCCGACACGCAGCTCCCCCAAGGAAGGCCAAGAACACCATATTTAGGAAGTCTCTTGGAGAGCCTGGGATTTTCCTCCCTTCCTTATCAGAGTTTGGAAGAGTTCCACCACCACCATGACAGCTATTACAACACCATCAGCTGTGTCACTCATGCATGTACACACACAAATTCCAAAAAAATGTCCAGATGGATCTTACCATGGTTACCTTGTTGCAACTATTTTCAGCATTAATACCCATGAGGAGGATCAGGGCCTCTGAAGTATTCAGCTGCCCCCAGGAAGCCCTACAGAGCACGTCCAGTTACCAACTCAACCTGCAGCCACACTCACGTGTCAAAACAACTGCTGCTTTCAAGACTTCACCTGAAGATTTCAAGTCTGAGGAGTTTCAGAAGACAAACCAAAGCCAGGCATCAGCAAACTGTGTTTTAAGCGAAGCCTTTACAAACAGTGCTTCATGCTGGACATCCATGACTCCAGAAACAGCTTTTCCATTTCAACCAACATTCCAGAAAGCTGCCTGTTTGCCCTCCCTCCCTTCCTCCCCAGCTCACTTTGCATGGCTCTGCAGGCCCAAGCCTCACTTCCAGGTACACACTGGTACTTCCTGAAGGAGAACAGGGCACCTGTGGCTCAGAGCAGCACAACCTGACACCTCATAACAGACTGAACGTCAGAGATACCACTGCTTGCAACAAGATCACGCTGCATTTCTTCCCTGCTGCTACAGGCTGGTTCCTCCCTGTAGCTCTGAGCAGCAGGAATGGACTCGAGGCCTTCCTTGAGGGATGACACGCTGCCCCTGAAAGCTTACAGCCACCTGGGGGTCACTTTCAAGACACCACTACAGCAACTATTAAACAGGTGAGGGGAAGAACAGGTTGGGGCAACTCACGCTCCAGTTTACCCTTCTGGGGTATCAAGTCCATTCCGTCAGCGCTTCTCAACTGCTCAAAGCAAAGGGACAAAGTTGGGGTTGTTTTGCTAAAGCTGCCCTCCAGAAAAGGCCAGCTGACACCAAAGGAGGCTGTGGTTTGTGACCTCTGCCCATCCTACAAGCAGCTGACACGTTTGCAATGCACACAGCAATCCTGCACCCATTCGGGGCTAAGGCATCCAAGGTAGAAGCTGAAAAGCAGCAGGAGCTGAGGGCTCCAGCTCTTTGCTGGGCACAGTAAACAGCAGCAGTAAACTGTCAGCATTTCCAATTCCTGAATTGCCACTGACTTCACTTCGAGGTCTTCCCTTTGTCACTAACTTCGCTTTGAGGTTTTTCATGCAAACCACTCAGTCACCCTGAAATTTTGAAGCACCACGAAGAAAGAAGTACTTGCCTTTTAACAATCCAGTTTTTCACAAGAATTACAGCACAAACTAAGCCCTAAGCAAATCCCTAAAGCTTTCCTGACAGCACTGGGAAGTTACGGCACCAATACCTAGAAGAGGGCTGAAGTTACAGGACACGAAGCTCATTTCTCAGAGTTTAAAACCCACACTGGACCTCACAGGCAGATCTTTACACCACCAGCCACTCAGGCTGCAGACAAATGCAGAACAGTTGCACTTTATTTCTGGGGCAATTCAGTATCTAACAGGTTATTTTGAGAGAAACATGACATTACTTTGATTCAGCCAGTGAAAGCTACTATGAAACATGTGCATGTTTAAGTATCTGGATGTTTCATTCTGGTTCACAGGATCTGACAAGCACTAATTTGGCTGTTTGGAGTCACGAGCTCTGAAGACACCATCCACACCAACTGGAAGAGTCCTATCCTCTTGTATCCAGTTACAATTCCCAGTAGGAAGCCACCAGAGCAGGAACAGCCTTCACAGCCCTTTGAGCTGCGCTGGTGAAATGATCTCAAACTCCATGCTGGATGCCAAGCCACTTCCTCCACAGAGACAATTCCTCTTCCCTGTCCCATCAGACCTGCCAGGCTCCTGCCTGTTACTCCGGCAGCCCAAAGATCCCCTTCTCCTAAGTTACTCCTTTTTTTCCAGGTTACTTGCCAACAAAGTACTGCACAGCCATGTTCCTCCTACTCCTGCAAGCTGACAACATACTTCTCTCCATCATCCTGGCTTGCATGTAGGTGGAATGAGATCTGAGATAAAATATTGTATCCTCTATTTCAGAAGCCTGGGCAGGCTCCATTTCTGTCTCCTCCAGCTGCAGATGGCCATTTTAATGGAAAATAAATAAATAAAATGAAATGAGAGTTTATCAAGCTGACCTATTCCACTTTTGTGGTATCATTTGTGGGTTGCATGACTTGTTCCTTGAGCAGGTTAACAATGATATTTTAATAATTGCTAGTGCAGACAGTTCATGCAATAGATACTAACAGTACCCCAGACAGGCAGCTATAGCACTGCCAGTGAGAGGATTCAGCTTGGCTCTCCATTTATCATTCCTACAACCTGAAGTGGGACAGGAGCACCTTTCAGTGCAGAGCCGTATCACTGCTGGTGCACCTTTGCCCTTCTCCAAGCTCCAGAGCAGGCACAGAACCACTTGTCACTGAAGCACTTTAGAACCTCATGCCCCGCCTTCACTTATCTGCACAAAGTTTCAACACTTGCAGCCCAGTATTTCCTGTGCTAGGGAAGAAAGCACCACTTCTATCTCCCAAGCCCACTGTAATCAGTAACAGCTGAAGCAAAGCAGGTGTCAGATGTCAACCTCCTCCCCTCCAGTTTACAAGCACTCCTTCATAAAACCTCCTTCATCTCTACCAAAAGAGTTCATTTCCAAATACCACATGCTTTAGTAGCAGACAAAAGGCATCTCAGTTCTTTATCTGAAGCTCAGAGCGTGACAGGTACTACAACAAACCTGTCATAGCTCCTTCTGTCATGCTGCCACCCCTTCCCAGTAGACTCACCTTTATAATATAAATAATATAAATATGCTTTTATATTCATCAGAAAGCCAAGCTGTGCTTCCACTCAGCACTACCTGACATGATTCACTAGCCAAGTTCTTTCCTTCTAAAAGAAAGCCTTATTGCACATGGCTACATCACACAAGAAAACAAACAGGTGAAGCACACAGAAAAGTGCCTACAAGACCTGAAGTCTGCAAGAGTTACAAGCTCACACCCAACCTTCCCACAGTAAGGGAAGTGTGCACAGAAAGGAAAGAAATCAGTTTCCTGTATAAAGTTGTGAAGAAACACCAGGTCTCATCTGCTGATCAAGAAGACAGTCTCTAAAAGAGCAAGAGCAGGAACAACTTCAATGCACAAACTTAAACTCCACGTTGGGGGGCAAAGCACTTACCAGGGAAGGGCAACATCTGCTCATATCCCAGCGAAAGAACAGGACTGTTAAAAGGAACAAGGGAAAGAGGCGTAATTAAAGCCCCAAAACCATATAAATAAAAAGTCTTAAAAAGTCCCACTTAGAAAAGGAACAGGAATTTCGGCCGCACGCGCAAGGGCAGCTGAACACTGCTGACACCACAGCCCCAGCGGCCGGAGCAGCCGAGCAGAGGCTGCCAGCGGCATGGGACGATCCCCGGCCGGGCTCACCGGGGACCGGCCACCCCCACGGGCCGGGCAGGGGGCGGCAGCGTCGGGCGAGGCCCACGGGCAGTAGGAGCTCCTCTGCCCCGGGGAGCCCACCCTGCCCCGGCCGCCCGAACCCGGCAGCGCAGGGCCCGGCCCCGGCCCGCCCGGCATCGCCGCTCGCCCGGGGATGAGAGGCCGCCGCACCGCGGCCGCGGAGCCGGGCCGCCTCCTCCTCCTCCTCCTCCTGCCGCCCGAGCGGAGCGGAGCCGAGGGCGCCGTGCCGGCCCCGCCGCCGCCCCTCACCCGCAGCCGAGGGGGCGTGTGCGGCCCTCAGTGACAGCGCGGCCGCGCTCCGCCAGGCCCCGGCGCGGCGGGCCGGCCCTCCCCGCTGCAGGACAAGGGGCACCCCGGCGGGTCCTTACCGCTGGGCAGGGCATGGCGCGGAGCCCCCGCCCGTGCCGGGGCGCGGCGTCCTGCCGAGGCCGGGGTCGCTGCGGGCTCGGGGCCGCCGTCGCCGCCTCACGGACACAACAACATGGCGGCCGCGCGGCCTCCTCCCTCCTCCCCCCGCGGGGCGGGGCCGGG